TGCTGCAAATTCCACTTTCTCCAAGGAACGTTCATGAATACTTCCCTCTCCTCTTATTGGTGATCACATTAGTATTGGTACCCCACATTTTCTGGCACTTGACGATATTATTTCCTACCTCGTTCTGTTTAGTGTTATGTTGTTTTTGTTCTTTATTTGGTGTGTGCTTCTTGTCTCTTAAACTGAAAGGAGCTCCCAAGATATGACACTCTGCTTCTACTCCCATTTGTCTGACAATACAGCTGTAGTGGATCTTGATGGAGCCCCCCACAGGTCCCCTTCACCAGGCCACTGTGAGTGTTGGCTGCCACCAGCTCAGAGCTGCCTTTTTCTCCAGGGATTTGGCCTCAGCCATTTGTGAGCATACCCGGGAGGCCAAGTGCCCCTGTAGCAGCCAGCAGTCAATAATTGACTGATACGGGGGAGTAAAAGATAGCCACAGAAGGTGAGGTCAATTCTGTGATGTAAAAGGAGCTTCAGAACCTTCCAGAGGGGCTCGGTGTGGTGGCTCACACCTGTAATCCCAGCACTTGGGAGGCCAGGATTAGAGGATTGCCTGAGCCCAGGGATTTGAGACCAGCCTGGGCAACCTGCTGAGACCTTGTCTTATAATAAATAAAAAAATTAGCTAGGCATGGTGGCACATGCCTGTAGTTCCAGTTACTTGGAAGGCTGAGGTGGAAGGATGGCCTGAGCCTAGCAGGCCGAGGCTGTGGTAGCCATGAGTGATCCACTGCACTCCAGCCTGAGTGACAGAGTATGACTCTGGCTCAGGGGGGGAAAAAAAAAGAACCTTCCCTTCCAGAGGAATCAGGCTGTTGCTGATCTCCAGCTGAGAGCACTTCCTTGCTTAGCTTTCTTCCTCTGCTCTAGCCTGCAATAGCTCACAACTGCCACCCTTCTCCATAGAATTGCCCTCATCTAATGGAAACCACCTCACAACCCCCATCTTGTCCCCCATTTCTGGCAGAGTGTCTCACAACCAATGACTGACTGCTTTGGGGGTACAAAAGGCCAGCCCCAAGGGACTGTAGTTCTGCACTGTGGTTTACGTCCTCTATATAACAGTTCTAGCCATGGCTAGACATGACCCGAAACACTCTTCATTTGGCTTTTTCCTTTTCCTGTCTATTTCACTCTCCCCCTTGCAGGTTTCTCCTGAAAAGCACTTCCTATCAATAAATGCTTGTCTCAGGGTCTGTTTCTAGGGGCTCCAACAGCAGGCCACTGGTGTCAGTACCCTGCCATCCTTTTCCCAAATGAGTAACTTTCTCACTCATTTCTGGGGACTGTTCAGATCCACGTTCTGGGCTGTGTATGCCATGGGACCTAAATTGGGTTAAAGGTGCATGAATGTGCACTAGATCAAAAACATCTGGGCTTTTTGGAAGTATTTGTAAGAAATAACTACTACATAGGATTATTATGAGGATATTAAAAGCTGAATGAGTTCAAGTGCGTAAAATGCTTAGATCAGTGCCTAGCACGGAGTAAACGCTCTTAAGGGTTAGTTAAGGGACTTCTTTGATCTTTTTTGTTCACTGATGTATCCCAACTGTTCCTAGATGAATGTTTGGCACATAGTAGACATTCAAGAAGTACCTGTGGACTGATTATAGTTTTGCTTTGAGGGCTCGAGGTGATGTGCTGGGATTTGGCCAGCAGAGGGCAGGACTGTGCAGACAAAGCTTGTCCGGGCTGAGCGTGCTAGTGGGACCGCTCCCAGACTCGTGGGCTAGGGTGAGGGCTGACAGCGCTCAGAATATCTGAGTGTTTACATTTTACCCCTTTAAAATCCTAGAATGTGCCGGGCTCGGTGGCTCAGCCTGTAATCCCGCGCCTTTGGGAGGCTGAGGTGAGTGGATTGCCTGAACCCGCGGGCTCGAGACCCTCCTGGGCAACTTGGCGAGCCCTCATCTCTACAATAAATCAGCGGGCATGGTAGCGCGCGCCCGTAGTTCCAGCTACTCGGAAAGCTGAGGCGGAAGGATCGCCGAAGCCCAGTGGCTCGAGGCTGCAGTGGCCGGGAGCGGCCACTGCACTCCAGTCTGGGCGACAGAGGGAGACTCCAACTCAAAAAATAAAAAAATTTTAAAAAATAAAATCCTAGAATTTTATTTATTCCAACCCTGGGTGTGTTTAATGAGATATACTGAGCTCTTACTTTATGAATTCAGACACATCAGTTGTTCCAGGCCCTGAAATCCCTGGAGTTATCCCGGTGTCTGCAGCTCTTTTTTTTCTTTCTTTTTTTTTTTTTTTCCTTGAGTTGGAGTCTTACTCTGTTGCCTAGGCTGGAGTGCAGTGGCACACTCAGGCCACCCCAGTGTCATCCTTCCGCCTCAGCCTTTCAAGTGGCTGGAACTGCAGGCGCGAGCTACCACGCCTGGCTTATTTTTAAATTTAGGGTAGAGAAGAGGTCTTGCCAAGTTGCCCAGACTGGTCTCGAACCCCTGACCTCAGACAATCCTCTCACCTCGGTCTCCCAAAGTGCTGGGATTACAAGCTTGAGGCACCGCGCCTGGCTTTTTTTTTTTTTTTGAGTTGGGGTCTCACTCTGTCGCCTAGGATGGAGTACAGTTGCACGATTACAACTCACCCCAGCCTCGACTTCCTGGGCTCAGGCGATCCTTCCATCTCAGCCTCCCAAGTAGCTGCGACTGCAGCCACCACATCCAGTTCATTAAAAAAATCGTTTTGTAGAGACAAGCTCTCTTGTGTTGCCTAGGATGGTTTTGAACTCATGGCCTCAAGCAATCCTCCTGTCTCAGCCTCCCAAAGTGCAGGGATTACAGGCGTGAGCCAACCCCCACCCCCCCTACCTCCTCGAATTTGTGAGCTCTCCCACACTCTTCTCATAAGTTCCCTTTTGTACTTACGCTAGTATTTGTTCGGTGTCTGTAGCTTGCGAGAAAAATAATTTGTATAACTTTATTATTAAACCCTGTGAGTGGTGTGAGGACTGTGTGAAGGCAAGCTTCCTCCACAGATGGGGTCACCGAAGTCATAGAGTTGTAACATGGGGACGGCTTCCTGCTCATCTCCTCAGCCAGCCTGCTCTCCCTAGGAGGGGATTCCCCCACATTTCTGCCTCCAAGCTTCCCTGGTCTTTTTCCCTCCATTTACTCTGTTCAGCCAGATCTGTGTTATCATCCAAAGCCTGGTTCCAGTTCTAGCTTCTTCTGACACCCCTAGAGTCTATTCAGTCACAAAACCCTGATAGCATTCATCACCTGATCATTCATTCTTACTCTCAATTGCATTCCATGTTTTATTTGGAAGTCTGGGCTGGGTGGTCTCTAAAGTCCTGTCAGCTGTGGGCTTCTGAAACTGTTGTTTTCCCAAATGTCACATCTCCTTGAGGAGGGCACCACCTTCTCCCTCAAAAAGAGATGAGGAAGGACTTGAACACACATGGGACTCAGCACAAGTTTGCAGAGAGTCAATATCATTGCTTATGGGAGCAAATGTGTCCTGTGATCCTCCATTCAAGAAACACATACGAAGAGACATAGGCATTTATTTTTATTTTTTTCAAGGTGGAAGTAGCACTTCCACTTGTATAATAAAGGGAAGTCTCCCAGATTCACCAATACTCCAGCCACTAGACCAGCCATTGGTCTTTTGCTACTTTTATATGTTTGTTCATGGGCTCCTGCTGTTAATAAAGTCTATCTTTGCCTGGAAAAAATTCTTATCCACAAGACTCAGGTCTGCCAGGCCCTTATGGAAGTCTCCTTTTATTATACAAGTAACATACTTATGGTCAAGTAAGGCAAGTATTACATAAATTTATAAAGTGTAAAGAGAAAATCACCCATAATCCTATTCTTTAGAGATAACTGCTATCAAAATATTTTTTGAGATATGTATGTTTCATGGAGCCTTCTGGGGTCCATATGGAGATCCCCTAAATCAAAACTGGACAAACAGAACAATGGGTGGTAGCAGCCTGGGATTTGGGGTACATAACTTGTAAAGTGTTCACCTGGCACATTACATATAATTGAACCATATGAAACTTATATTCTGATATTCTGCTGTTTCTGACTTCTAAACACAGTGATTTCATATGGTTCAACCTAATGTCTGTGAAAGCTAGAATGTCAGAATTGAGAGAACTTTAGAGACTTTCAAGTCTAACTATTTCATTAGGTTGAAGAGGAAAAAGGATCAGAGGAATGAATCCAACCTAAGATCATACACCATATTAGTGGCAGAATCAGGGCTGGTTCTCCTTCCACTGAACCATGTTCCTGCCTTTCATATGGTGCTTCTTTTAATATAATAATCTTTTAGGTATGATAATAATCTTCTAGAAGTAGATTTCAATATGATATTAGAAAAATTTTCACAGAACTTAAACAAAATGGAAGAGGCTGCTTTCGAGGTAGTTTAGTCCCCTTGGCTGGAGATGTGGCTGGAAGGGGCCCTTGAGGGACATGAACCGTGGAGCCAATGAGGCATAACAGTCAGGGCCTTGACTCACACGGATGCCTTCCCAAGGTCCTGAAAGGGGTCCTAACAACATGTTAGCATGCTGATATCTTTTTGTAATATTTGCAAAAGTAAGATATTTTCCAACTCTTTTTCTTAAAGAGTGTCCCCAGAATTGCATAACCTTCAGGCATGGAGGGGCACAGTTTTGAAAAGCATTAGTCAAGGAGACTGGAGCTCCTGGGTTCCAATCATGGCACCACTCGGGCCCAAGGGGCAGCTTGGCATTTTCCCTGCTTTCTCACGGGGGAGGGAGGCAAAGTCACAAATGTAAAATGTGCTGAAAAACATAAAATGTGGACAAATGTCAGTATCATTACTCAGACTTCCTATCTGCGGTATGGAGTCATTATCACTGCTTCTCGTGGCTGTTGAAGATAACATATTAGAAAAAATATGTCCCTAGAGCATCTTCCTGTTTCCTTTTCCTTTGCTACAACTTCCTCTTCTCCTTTCTCCAACTCCTGGACCTCCAATACTCCAGTCACTAGACCAGCCATTGGTCTTTTGCTGCTTTTATATGTTTGTTCATGGGCTCCTGCTATTAACCAAGTCTATCTTTGCCTGGAAAAAATTCTTATCCACAAGGCTCAGGTCCGCCAGGCCCTCTTCTCCCACTCTAATGATGATCTCCTTTCACACTGTTTCTTGTTGATCTTACAGATAAGGATATTGAGATATGGTGTGGTCCATAGCAGAGTTCTGGCGGCCCCAGAAGCAATCCTCAGATGTCTTGATCGGCCGTGATCCTGGCCCTCTAGGATTAGATCATAGACACACGGTTCTTGATGTACACGTGATAGGGGTCACTACGCTTGTCCACTTTGTGGGAGCGGGTGTATCCCAGGATGAGGCTGCCCACAGTCACAGCAAATAGAAACATGACAAAGAGAATGTACATGTAGGAGTTGTCATCACGGCCAGGTAGGCTGGTCCGCCGCTCCTCAGTCTGGTTGTCTGGCCCTGGCCCTGACCCTGGGCGGCAGAGCAAATTGCTGTGAAGAGTGGCATTTAGAGCCTTCAGCACAGCATGCAGGCTCTGGTACCAGGTCTCAGTCCCATTGATGGTCTCCATAGCAACAGGGATTGAAGCAAGGGAAGAACCGGGGGATGCCCTGGTGGTGAGAGAAAAGAGAGAGGGGATAGCTTCTGTCACCTGCAGCTTGCATGACCTCCCCAATCCTCAGGCCCCAGCTAAATCTCAACATTGTAGCTTATTCTAGCTACTTGTTTACTTGTCTGTCTTCTCTACTAGACCACAGGTTCAACGAAGGCAGGCACTGTGTTTGTCCTATTCACTGCTAGGTGGGAGTCCTTATGACAGCACTCAATAGGTGCTCAATAAATACTAATGATAGGAGACTTTATGACAGCACTCAACAGGTGCTCAATTAATACTTGTGGAATAAAGCCTTCCCTGACCATTGTAACCCATGTTAATCTCTTCTTTCATCGGAGTCTATAAGTCACTGAACTTTAGGTTAGAAGGACCTTAGGGTTTATTTAACCTAACTCCTTCCATTTTACACACAGGGAAACTGAGGCCTAGAGAGAATAAGTGGCTTATCTATGATCACAGAGAATATAGGAGGCAGAGCCAAGATAGAAAGCCCTGCCCTTCAGTGGTCAGCTCAGAGCTTCTTCCCCTTCCATGCCAGCTCTCAGTGGGACTGTGTGGCCCCATTAGAAGACATTCGTCAGAACCTTCCTTCAGTACAGTTCCTTCTAGAGACTCCAAAGACACCATTTAGAAGATACGTGGGGGCCAGATGTGGTGGCTTATGCCTATAATCCCAGCACTTTGGGAGGCCGAGATGAGAGGATTGCCTGAGCCCACAGGTTTGAGACCAGCCTGGGCAACTTAGCAAGAACTCGTCTGTACAATAAATCAAAAAATTAGCCGGGCGTTGTGGTGCATACCTGTAGTCCCAGCTACTTGGAAGACTGAGGGGAAGGATTGCCACTACACTCCAGCCTGGGCAACAGATTGAGATTTTGACGAAGAAGGAGAAGGAGAAGGAGAAGGAGAAGGAGAAGGAGAAGGAGAAGCGTGGGAATGGCTTTCATTTCATGCCAACTGGAGGCTAGATGCTAGATAATTTGGCCTCTCAAGCATCCTATGTCCCAAACACTCTAGGTCTTCCTAGCATCTGGGGAAATTCTGTTGGAAAGGAGGTGACTGGGGAAGCAAGGTGAGGTTGATGACCAATGCAGGCACTGGAGAAGACAAGAACAGCTTGAACCTGAGGGTAGGGGAGTAAAAGGAATGTTCGGTTTGGTTTGAGGTTGACCTGCTCCAGAAAGAAGACACTGGCCGGGCTCGGTGGCTCAGCCTGTAATCCTAGCACTTTGGGAGGCCAAGGCAAATGGATCGCCTGAGCCTGAGGGTTCGATACCAGCCCGGGCAACTAGGTGAGACCTCATCTCTACAATAAATAAAAAAAATCAGCCGGGTATGGTAGCGCACGCCTGTGGTTCCAGTTACTTGGAAGGCTGAGGCAGAAGGATCGCAGGAGCCCAGCAGGTTGATGCTGGGGTGGCCATGAGCATGCCACTGCACTCCAGCCTGGGTGACAGAGACTCCAACTCAAATAGAAAAAAAGAAAAAGAAAAGACTCAGGTGCCTCAACTATCCTGTTTTCTGAAACCAGTGATGTACCTGGCATATAACAGGTGATCATAAATGCTCCTTTTCCTTTCTCTCAGAGATCCTTATAGTATGGAAAAATATCCTAAGACAGCATTGCATCCTGGTCTCTGAAAAACCATATGTCATTCTCTTTAAGCAAGGCTCCACACACACTTCCTTCAGGAAGACTCTGTCCTCAACCACACTCCACAAGCTTTATCATCGCAGCCTTCCCTCCCCCTACCCAGCACTTATATATAAGGCAATGTGTGACTGTCTGCTTGTTTAAGGGTGTCCTTAGATCACATGATCCTGGTCAGCAGGGCTATGCTTCTTCCCCAAGTCTTGGGAACTGCCCTGAGATTGGCTGGGTGCTCTCCTTTCCCAGCGGACTACTCTGAGACTGGCAGGCTGCTCTCCTTCTCTCAACATTCTCCAGAAAAGATGTCCACTTTAAGGACTTCTCTTTTTTTTTTCTTGAGTCATAGTCTTACTCTGTTGCCCAGGTTGGAGTGCAGTGGCACAATCATGGCTACGCAGCCTTGACCTGCTGGGCTCAGGTAATCCTTCCACCTCAGTCTTCCAAGTAGCTGGAACCACAGGTGTGTATCACCATGCCTGGCAAATTTTTTGATTTGCTGTCGAGACACAATCTCACCAAATTACCCAGTTTTTAAGAGGTAGAGGAGGTAAGGGAAGAAAACATGAGAAATGACACAACAAGAAAGTACATAAAATGTTTAGACGAATAGGAAGACACATAAAGAGGTTGGAGTGTAAGTTACGTGGGCTCAAGCAATCCTCCCACCTTGGCCAAAGTGTTGGGATTATAGGTGTGAGCCACTGCACCCTGCCCAGTGGAAGAGAATTTAACAAAAAAAAAATTTTTGAGTTGGAGTCTCACTCGGTCGCCCAGGGTGGAGTGCAGTGGCACACTCACTGCCACCCCAGAGTCAACCTGCTGGGCTCTGGCGATCCTTTTGCCTCAGCCTTCCAAGTAGCTGGAACTACAGGCACGCCCTTCCATGCCTGGCTAATTTTTTTTTTACTTACTGTAAAGACAAAGTCTCGCCAAATTGCTGGGGCTGGTCTCGAACCCGCGGGCTCAGGCAATCCACTTGCCTCGGACTCCCAAAGTGCTGGGATTACAGGCTGAGCCACCAAGCCCGATCTTTAATTTTTGAGAAGCAAATATGTACACATAGGGGGGAAAAAGGAAGCAGAACATGCAATGAAGATGAATCTGTTCCTGGTCTTCTAGAGCTTCTCTGCAGGACAGTCACTGCTACGTTTTTGTAGACGCCATCAGGAAAGGTTTTTATCTGTCAGAGTACAGGGAGGGCAATCTCAGTCTGGAAAACTCACCAAACAGCAGGCAAGTCACTGGCTCTGAGCTGACTATAGGAATCTCCTTGTGAATGCCCTAAAGCTCCTCAGCCACTCTGCCTCTTCAGGGTGTCTCTGGAAGCATCCAGGTTCTCAGTCAAGACTTCACAAGCTGGAATGGCCCAGAGCTGGAAAGCAGAGGAGGAGGCAGAAAAGGAAGGAACCAGACACACAGAACAAACTTTAGAACCAGGATGGATCACCCAAGGCCAGGCCCAACGGGTTATGCAGCTGTCCTGGTGTGGGCTCTGACACCCTCCCAAGGCCTCTCCCCTTCCTGTAGCAGCTGGATCAGACCAGCCTAGGGTTGCAGTTACAGGAACTGTGCAGTTGCCAACGGGCATCTGATTGCTATCCCCCACCAGTAGGCTTACAATGTCTTGACTGTGTAACTTTACGAGAAACCTCAGTTTAATATGTGGACTCCCACTTAGGGACTGGCTAATGGTGCAGCCTAAAACATTCCCTTTCCCAAGGGCTCTGGTATCTTAGGAGCCTTTTAGAATCCCAAGGGGATGATGTGAGTGGTAGGGTGGCAGTCGACAGTTGGGCTGATAGTTTATTTTATTTTTGAGTCGAAGTCTCACTCCATCACTCAGGCTGGAGTGCAGTGGCACGCTCACGACCACCCCAGCGTCGACCTGCTGGGCTCCGATGATCCTTCCGCCTCAGCCTTCCAAGTAGCCAGAACTATAGGCGTGTGCTACCATGCCCGGCTAATTTTTTGATTTATTGTAGAGACATGGTCTCGCCAAGTTGTTGGGGCTGGTCTCGAACCGGCGGGCTCAGGCAATCCACTCGCCTCAGCCTCCCAAAGTGCTGGGATTACAGGCTGAGCCACCAAGCCCGGTCTGGGTTGATATTTTACATAGGAACAAATGATGTGTCTATTCGGGTACACAGGGTATAAACATGGCCACAGAGTTAGCAGTATCTGTAGCATAGCCGTGTTGTGAAAATTAAAGACCATTATGTAGTGCTTGGCACTAGACCCTCCACAGATGGTGGTGGTATTATTTTTGTAGCACAAAGACTGGAAAGGCCTTCAGAGCCCATCTAGTCTAAATACCCTCATTTTACAGTGAGGGAAATGGAAACCCAGGGTGCTATCTTCGTTCAACTCCTACTTGTGTGACTTTGGGCATGTGACTTCCCTTTTCTGGGCCTTGGTTTCTGTCTGCATCTGTTCTAACATCCTGTGACAGTACAAGTCACAAGACCATGCCATGAGACCACGGAAGATTGGAGAGGCTGGTGGGAGAGACACTTTGGGGCTTTCTAGAGCCCCTCAATTCCCAAGATAGAGAAGGCTGCAGAGTTTTCTCACAGGTTAAGATGCTTCTGAGCCCTGGGACTGACTTACACCTGATATTCCAGCCTAGATAAACTGAGGGCCGAATCGGTTGACTTGTTCACTTTTTTTCTTAACAGCTCACCTGCCAGGATGATCTAACTTGGGGAGGAGGCAGTCTCTGTGTGGGAAGTGGGGATAGGGGACTGTGTGGAGGACAGGGTGAACTAGGGTTGTGAGGGGAGTGAAGATTTATGAAGTCTTCCATCCCTCAGGCCCTCCTGCCAAGGCCTCTCTGGATAGACCAGGATGTGTGTGGTTCTGACAGGAGTAGCAAAGAGGCCTGGGTTTGTGTGGAGGTGAAGGCCGGGTGCAAAGGTACCCTGTTAGGGTCAGAAGAGGGCTAATAAGGGAATAGGCTGGTTCTCTGTGGCCTGCTTCTAGGTCTCAGGTGGAGGCCCGGTAGTCAGCAGCACTGGGAGTTTGGCTCATTTTTCTAGGCTCCTTGGCCTTCCTCTCCAGGAGAGTCACTGAGCACAAAGCTCCTTGGATGGGAGAGACGTTTCTTTCCCTGGAGAGGCCCTGATTTGAAACAGGAGATAGACCAGTTAGGAAGGAAGGTGAGCAGGTGGCCAAGCTGAAAGGGACTTTAAAGATTACCTAGAATCCAAATTCTCAGCTAATCCCTTCATTTTGTAGATGAGAAAACGGAAGCTCAGAAAGTGACTAGTCCAAAATGACACAACCCGTAAAAAGCACTTGGACAAGAACCCAGGTCTCTGGGGTGCTGTTGGGGTGTTCTTTCCACTACAATTATCAAGTGTTCCTTTGTATCTGAGCTGCTTATCACATCAAGCACAGTCTACTGGTGTCATGGGGCAACAGTTTCTCTAACTCTGTTACTACTGCATTTTCCTGCACTACAGATTCTCACCAGTCTCTCCAGTCAAGAACCCAGTGAGGGGGGAGTTTGGTAAGTTTAGGAGGAGTTACCCTCCCTTTATATTTTCATCTCCCAATGCCCCTTCTGCTCCAGATGTCCTTCTGATTCCCCAGACAAGCCAGACCCATTGTTCCTGCTAGTTCCTTCACGTTAGTAGGTTCTCACTGAATGTACTTGCCTTGAACTTGTCCAGTCTCTAACTTGGAAGTTGGGGCATAAAGATGTGATCTGAAGGATGACCTGGGTATCTTAGTGAGAGTTCTGTCAGCTCTTGGGGGGAAAAGTGAAACTCCACCATTGATTCTTTTAGTTTCCCTACTGCTCTGTGTCAGCTATTCTTTCAGGAGTGTCTTAAGTGTCTGGAAATGGAGTGCGGAAAGGCAGGTAGAAAAAGTCACATAAAGCAGGTAGGGGACCCAAAGAAAACTTCTGGGACGTGTATTTCTACCTCTGTCCCCTTGGTGGTCTTATCACCACTGCAGTCTGGAGAGCTGGCATAATACAGGAGGAATTGTAGGAGTGGGCCTTAACACCTTGCTGGAAGGACACAGGAATTAGATCTGAACCGGCAAGGATCGTAAGGACCATGTTGTTGGTGCACCCCTCATTCAACCAGCAGGAAAGCAGAGCATCCCTCACCCGGAGAAAATCACTTGCTCAAGGTCTCACAGCCCAGGAGTGGCAGAGCTGGAACCAGAAACCAGATAGCCTGGACTCCCCCTCCACAGAACCTTCCACGGTAAGTTCCCGTTGGCCTGTAGGACAGGATGTGTCTCTGCCACTGGCCTTATCTTTCTACAGTTCTCCCCAGTACCCTGTGCCCATGACACTGAGCAACAAATAGGTCACTCTCCAAACATTCCTTGTACTGGCACACCTCTTGCCTTTGCTCATGCCGTTCTCTTAGGCGGGAATGCCCTTCCTTAAAACCTGGTTGGCAAACTTCTGCTCATCCTTCAAGACCCAGTTCCAGTGTCTCTCTGCAGGCCCTCTCCTGAGACACCTCCTTCTCCACTCCTTAGCCCTCTAGTCTCTCCCCCTGGTCTGTTCCCAAAAGTGCTTTGCACAAAGTTGTATGAGAGCACTATGCTGTACTGAAACTGAGTGTCTGTGTGTATTTACATTACCTATCTATATCTATGTCTATGTCTATTAAACTGTGCACTGTGAGGTATGAGGCCAGGGACCTGTGCCTTATACATTTCTTTATTCCCCAGGTCTGACACAGCAGGCACTCAAGAATAAATGAGCCAGTGCCTCGTCTGTGAGAGCATCCCCCCTCCAGCGCTCACAGACACGTTCATGAAAACAGCTTACAACACTTAAAAATCAAGCCCTGGGCAGACCAAAACAGATTCCATTTGGTCTGGGGAAGGAGAAGCTCAGAGAAAAGAAGCCATCTCAGGCAGGTGGGGTGAGTCAGGGGAGGAGGAATTCTAAACCTCCTCTGGAAGCCCAGATGCTCCCAGCACCTGGACCTCATTCAATCCGAAGAGCAAACATTCTTGGCCCCAAAAACACCAGCAATGGTGTAACAACCCTCTTCCCTGTGTACCTACCCGGGGTGTGGCCCCACACACCCACCCATGGCACACACACAGTCCTACTCCCGGGCACTCAGCCTGTGATCTTGCCTTTCAAGTGTGCCTTTTGTGATTCTGATCTTGGCTGTGTGACCCTGAGTACTCCATTTACTTCCTCTGAACCTCCCCTATTAGATGCGAATAATTATCCCTGCTCTGCTTACCTCACACAGGAGCTGGAGGAGACAATAGATGGGAAAGTGTTTTAGATATTGCAAACAGGAAGCTGAGGTGAGAGGATTGCTTGAGCCCAGGAGTTCAAGACCAGCCTGGGCAACATAGCGAAACCTACTTGGGAGACTGAGGCAGAAGGATCATTTGAGCCCAGGAGGTTGAGGCTGTGGTGAGCTGTGATCCGTGCCACTGCACTCCAGTCTGGGCAATAGAGTGAAACCCCGACTCAAAAAAAAAAAAAAAAAAGTGGCAAACATATGACATACTTATCAGGCAGCTTGGTCACACTGTTTCCTTTTTGTCTCCACATCTCCACCCCCCCCCCATATTACCAAGAACAGCCATCCATATGTCCCTGTTCCCCACTCCGGCTCTTCTACCCTCAGAGAAGCCAGGAGGTTCTTATTTCTCTTTTTGATTCTCAGAAACGTTACGTCCTTCAGAAGCCTTCCTTGTCCCCCACCCTCTCTGATCATCCCTGTAGAGTCCCCTACCATTTAGGGACACCATGCTGTAGTCCTGCAGGTGGCGGAAAACATACCAGAGGGGAAACTGAGAGACCTGGATTTCAGCCCCCGTTTTGCCACGTCTCGCCATGTGTCTGGATAAGGCACTTTTCCACTCCAGGCCTTGTTTTTCTTCTCAGTAAGTCGGGATTTCTTGTCTTGGCTCCCTCTGAGAAGGTGTTTTGCACACCCACACATTTTAAGTAGATGGATGTGCTTTGAGAAGTGTAGAGTGAGTGAGGGATGGAGCGAGTTTTTGGTTAAAGTCTCAAGGAGTCACTGAAAACTAAAAGCAGCCCCCATGCTTCCAGCGCGAGTCTCCCCATCCGGAACTGACAAAGTGGCTGGGTGCCAGGAGATAAGGAGGAGCTTACAGGTACATTTACAATATCCCTTTGTAGGTGAGATAGAGAGAGCCCTGAGCTCAGAGTGAGGAAACTTGGATTCTCATTCTATTTGGTCCCTGATGTAACCCTAGGTAAGTCATCTCTCCTGGGACCTCAGTTTCCCTATGTGCAAATTGGTAGAGTAGGGAGGGGATGAGGAAGAGACACTCTCATGAGCTCTCACATAAGGGCTGAACTCATCTGCTTTCTAGATAAGAGACTCCCAGGTCCAGTCCCCTTTCTCTTCACGTCCCATGGGGTAGTGGGCAACAGGAGCAGGAGAGGGCCCATTTTA